TATGTAGCAGATCACTGCTTCAGTCCTTTCATAAATGACATGCCACTGTATGGTTAGATCACATTTTGTTTCCACTCACCCCTTGATAGACATTTGGATTTTTTTCCCACTTTTTGGCTATTTGGAAGGGGCTTACAATTTTAACAGCTGCCTTCTGCCACCTTCACTAATACAATTTAGACAGACTCTTGGCCCTGGGATTAAAACTATGATGGAGAGATGAATGAAATCTGCGGGGTTCCAGAGGAAGTTGTTCCAGAATCTTTCCTTGGATCATAGGTAAGGGTGAAGAAGGCTTCACACTGGAAGCCAGGTCTTTTTTGTTTGTTTGGGTTTTCCTTCCTTCATTCCTTCCTTCCTTTGTTTGTTTCTTTCTTTCTTCCTCCCTTCCTCCCTCCCTCCCTCTCTCTTTCTCTCTCTCTCTTTCTTTTTTTTTAATTGAAGTATAGTCCATTTCCAATGTTGTGCTAATTTCTGGAAGCCAGGTCTTGAGTACCACGGGACCTGGGAGCTGGGCCTTGGGGCACTTTATACAGAGGCCAGGGGGAGCTTACCACCCTTGGGGGGCAGGAGAAGATGCAGACTCGTCTGATTCAGGAAGAGGTTCAGACAGTAACATCTTAAAGGAACAGACAGAGAGGAGCCTAAATTGAGACCAGAGATGAAGAAGGGGAGGAGGTCTGTTTCACAAGATCCAGGGAGGGCCTGGCCAGAAATTGTGTCTCGGTGAGGAGTTGGAGCTAATCCAGGCACAAGGGTGAGGTGCTCTCCTCAGCCAGTTACTGAGAGTCAGGGCAAAGTACGGACATTCTCACACTCTGGATGGAGGACTGGGGGCGGGGCGGGGAGGCGATGAAAAGCAGGCTTGAGGTGTGATGCAGAGTCCAGTTAGGGATGCATTAAACGAGGAGCCTGAGGTCAGTCCGGGAGAGATGGCGAGGAGGACACAGGGATTTAGAACTTATGAGAGAGGCCTGGGCTGGAAACAAAACATGGGACGCCAGAGCGGAGCCTGGCGGAATCTTCCCTGCGAGCTTGAGTTCAACTCATTTCAAAGGTTTGCTGAGTCTATGTGCTGTGTCCAAGGCTGGGCTCTGAAAATATCAGGCTGGACACAGTACTGTCCCTGCCCTGGGGGGAGCTTATGGTTTGGTGGCAATCAGAGTTAGATATTTAACAAGGTTAATCTTTTTAAAAACTTAATGTAGAATGAAATAATGCCACTGGCAGCAACATAGATGGACCGAGAGATGATCATACCGACTGAAGTGAATCAGACAGAGAAAGACAAACGTCACATGATATCACTTATATATGGAATCTAAAAAAAAAAAATGAGACAAATGAAGTTATTTACAAAACAGAAATAGATTCACAGACATAGAAAATAAACTTATGGTTAACAAAGAGGCAAGGCTGGGGCAGGGATAAATTAGGAGTCTGAGATTAGGAGATACAAACTACTATATATAAAATAGGTAAACGACAAGGTCCTATAGTATTGCACAGGGAACTATATTTGGTATCTTATAAACCTATAATGAAAAAGAATATGAAAAAGAATGTATATATGTATACCAGAAAGTAACACATGTAAATCAACTGTACTTCAATTTAAAAAACGTAATGTAAATTTTATTAAAGATTTTTCATATAGAAAAGGGCACAAATCACAAATTTTTACTAAACAAAAATGTTTCAAAGAGTGAATGCAATCAGAGTTAGATACTTAATGAAGATACTTTTTAAAAAACTTAACATAGGATGTTAACAATGCCATTGACAGCAACATGGATGGACCTGGAGTTGATCATACTAAGTGAAGTAAGTCAGACAGCCATTGATCTTAGCAATTAGTGCCCAGATCAAGAAACAGATCCTTACTGGAACCCCTAGGAGGTCCCTATTGTCCTCCTCCAGCCACTGCCCACAGAGGGTAACCAGTGTCTGCATTCCTGATACCAAAGTTGAATTTTGTCTGTTTTTGAACCTTGTATCAAGCATATCACATAGTCTGTATTCTCTGTGTCTGGGTTCTTTCACTCACATTGTTTGAAGATTCATAGATGTTGAGTGGAGTTGTTACCTCATTCTTCCATTGTGTGGATAACCGACAGTCCCTTCACTTTTCTTACTGTTTTTTTTTAATTAAAGTATAGTTGATTTACAATGTTGTGTTAGTTTCTGGTGTAGAGCAAAGTGATTCAGTTATGCATATATATATGTATATATTCTTTTCCACGATGTTTTATTATAAGATACTGAGTGTAGTTCCCTGTGCTGGACAGTAGGACCTTTTTGTTACCTGCCTTACCGCTGATGGGCATTTGGGCAGGTTCCCTTTTTCAGCCCCTGCGGCGAGTGCTGCTATGAAGTCTTGGCTACATTTGGTGCGCATGCGTGCGTGCTTCTGGTGGGTACACGGAACGGCCGGCTCACGGGCTCAGCGTTAGTAGAGAATGACAAACGTTTCCCCAAGAGGTTGTACCAATTCCCACTACTACCAGCAGTGTAGGGGCGTTCCAGCTGCTCCCCATTGTCACCAATACTTGATATTCTTTGTGTGTGTGTGTGTGTGTGTGTGTGTGTGTG